CGCCGACAGCGAATCCTGCTCAAAATGAACAAGAACTGCTGTCGGTCTTTGTACCCATTCTTTCCGTACCCATGTCGGTCGCTGCCGATGTTTGAGCACTCCTCCTGTAGAGGCACACGCCCGACCTAAACTTAGGTCGGGCCTGTCCCCCTACAGGGGGATTTTGGACGAAAAATAAAAAATACGCAAAGAAATAATGAAAAGATGCCAAAAAATATTCGAAAAATAGTCCCCAGACTGATTTTTTACTATTTTTGAATATTCCCCCTGTAGAGGGACAGGCCCGACTTAAACCTAAATCGAGGAGCGTGAGGGTGCTAGCCTTCTGCTCGGCCCCGGTGGGCCGAAAGGCCGTTCGGCCACGTCGGGCCCCCTCTTCCCCCTGTGAGTTCTCCTACGCCCCCCTTTCGGGGGCGCGCAAAAATGGATTGGCGATCCATGGATTTGGCGCGCGGTCGCCAAATCCATCCATCGGGGGAGGTGCCCTCCCTACAAGTGCGGCCGGTGCCGCGTCGCTCGGCGGCGGAAATCCGCGATTTCCCGTGGAAACGGGACCCGTCGCTAATCCACGCCCCCTTTTGATTCATGTTTGCGATCGCCTGAGATTTGCGATCCATGGGAGATCGGGGGCCGATGCACTCCCCCGTGAGCTCATCCCCCCGGTCGCTGCCCCTGATGCATGCCGTGCCCCCGAGAGAGAGGTCCACAACTGGCCCGGAGAACAATCCCGAACGTGTCCGCAAGATGGAGCCCTTGGCGCACGGGGTGCGAGAGGGGCTTTGAGGACCCTCTGTGAGGAGGAGGAGGAGGAGGAGGAGGAGGAGGAGGCGGAGGAGGAGGAGGAGGAGGAGAAATCTAGGAGGCGCCCGGGGACTTCTGCAGGCGTACTTTCAATCGGGAAGGGCCGCTGCATCTCGGAGGAGGGCCTCCGCCATCGCTGGCTGCGACACATCACGACGGGATGTGTTTCGAAGTTTCCGACCCCTAGGGGGCCCTTCCCGGGCCCCGGGAACGTCAATGCGAAACGGTGCCCCGGGAAAAGGACCAGATGATAACTGACCAGAGGCTCACCGTGCGAAGAAAATACGGCGTCGGAGGTCTGGACTGCACTCTGCGCAGGGGGCATCAGGACAAGTCTCAAGCGCGCATCGGCCCCCGCGGGAAGCTCCGAAGCAAGAGCATCGGAGCCAGCTGTCCCGCGGCCTACCGCGCCCGTGAGGCGGGGGAGGACAGACCGGAACGAGGAGGATGACGAGGACGAGGTGGAGGGAGACGAGGAGGGGTCGAAGACGGCGGCGACCTCGACCGAGGGACGACGTGAGCAGGGGAAGATGCAGACCGCGACGGCACTCGTCGCGGGGGAGGCGGAGGATGAGGCGGAGGAGGAGGATGAGGCGGAGGAGGAGGATCATGAGGGGGGCGAGACCAGGTGGAGGGGCAGGAAGCACGCGACGGCAAGGAGGACGCCGCCCCGCCGCCGCCGCCGCCGCCGCCGCCGCCGACGCCGACGCCGACACGACAACTCCACGACGACGACGACGACGACGACGACGACGACGACGCTGGCACCGGCGCCGACGCCGACGCCGACGCCGCCGCCGACGCCGACGCCGACGCCGACACGACAACTCCACGACGACGACGACGCCGACGCCGACGACGACGACGACGACGCCGACGCCGACGCCGACGACAACGCCGACGCCGACGCCGACGCCGACGCCAACGCCGACGACGACGACGACGATGACGACGATGACGACGACGACGACGACGAAGGCACCCCGCCGCGGGCGCCTGCGCAAGCCACCGTGACTGCAGACGGCTCGGCTGGGCAACCGCCCAGTCGTCGTTTCCCAAGATGCCTGGTGCCATCCTCCTCGCGCCCTTCCTGTCCTCCCTGCACCCTGCCACCTCCTCCTCCTTCTCCTCCAGAATCTCCCTCCCTCTGAGACTCCTCCTCCTCCACCTCCTCCTCCTTCTCCTCCTTCGTTTCCTCCTCCTCCTAGTCATCATCATCCATCCATGGTCATCATCGCCATGATCAGCATGGTTCTCCTCATCAGCATCATCATCCTCACCTTCAGAATCACCATCATCATCATCATCATCATCATCATCACCAGCAGCATCCGCATCAGCGTCAGCATCAGCATTATCAATATCTTCTTATTCTTCATCATCATCATCATCAGCATTATCATCATCATCATCATCATCATCATCATCATCATCATCATCATAATCATCATCAGCATCATCATCAATCCACATCAACAGTATCAGCATCAGCATCATCATCATGTTCACCATCATCATCATTAGACCCATATCTGACATCATCAGCATCATCATGATCAGCATCAGCATCATCATAATCATCATCATCAGCATCCCCATCACAAGCACCACCACCACCATGATGATCATCACCGTCATCATCAGCATCATCATCAACATCACCATCGCCATCGCCAACCTCCTCCTCCTGATCATCATCATCATCAGCAGTAGCATCATCAGCATCATCATGACCATCGTCATCATCAGCAACATCATCATCCTCAGCATCATCATTGTCGTCATCATCATCAGCATCATTATCATCCTCAGCATCATCACCATCACCATCAGAATCAGCATCATAATCTTCCTCATCGTCATCCTCATCACCATTATCATCATCATCATCATCATCATCATCATCATCATCATCATCATCATCATCATCATCATCATCATGTTCAACATCATCTCCGTCATCGTGCCCGTCAAAAACATCATTACCACTGTCATCATCGTCATCACCATCACCAGCACCAGAATAATCCGCCGGCCCCCTTGTGGGGCCACCAGGCTGTAGGGTCAGGTTGCTGCTCCCTGCACCAGTTCCAGTTTCCAGTTTCCAATGTTACAGTCTTGCTTTCTGCTTCCTACTGTAAAATGTTACTGTCCGCGCGAGGGGGGGGGGGGCCGAAAACTACCCTGGTCACCCTCCCCCAGGAGGGTTCTCTGAATTTATGGGGGGGGCCCTGGGTCACGTAAACCCCTCGCAAATTACGCCGCATCCGCGCCCCGGGAGCCACGATCCTTCGTAAATTAAACGATTGTTGCGTCCCCGAGGCCTTAAACTTTCGTAGAATATGCTATCGTCGCGTCCCCAAGGCCGTAAGCCTATATAAATCTAACAATCTTCGCGTCCCCGAGGCAGTAAACCCTCGTACATTACACTGTAATTGCATCCCTGGGGGCATAAAACCTTTGTATAGTAGGCAATGCCTGCGCCCCCGAGGCCATGAGCCCTCGTAAATCATACAATAGTTGCGCCCCCGAGGCCACAACACCTTGTAATTTCTGCAATATTCGCATCCCCGAAGCCATAAACCTGCTGAAATTACACAACACTTGCGTCCCCGAGGCCATGAACCCTTGTATAGTATGCAATACTCACGTCCCCGAACCTTCAAACCTCCGTAAGTTATACAATATTCACGTCCCCGAGGCCATAAACCGTTGTAAAGTATACAGTATGTACGTCCCCGAGGCCATAAGCCCTTCGTAACTTCCAAAAGACTCGCGCCCCCGACGCAGGGATTCCTTGAAAATTACGGCGCGCTCGCGCCCCCGAGGCCTCAGTCCCTGACAACAGACGCCGAGGAGCCCGAAGACCACCCCAGCCGCGCGATTGTGCCCGCTCTAGCCTCAAGCAGACCCCAGTCTTGCACAGCATGCGGGGGCAAGTCAAAAATGCAACACCGAATTCAACAAAATCATCTGAATCTACATCTTGCCGATTACTTATCGTCCTCGCGTGAGGTCCCGACACGGCTTCAAGACGGCGCCAAGACCTCGGGACGTAGTTCTTGCATGATCCATTATCCGAGAGAGGGGGCCGGCAGCAAGGGGGCGAAGCCCTTACGGATCATCATCATCATCATGATCGTCATCATCATCATCATCATCAGCAGCAGCAGCAGCATCATCATCATCATCGTCAGTATCAGCATCATCATCATCAGCATCATCATCAGCATCATCACCATCATCATCATCATCATCAGCATCACAATCATCATCATCATCATCATCGTCATCATCATCATCATCATCATCATCATCATCACCATCACCATCACCATCATCATCGACATCAGCATCATGATCCGCATCAGTATCAGCATCAGCACCATCATCATCATCAACATCAGCATCACGATATCTTCAGCGGCAGCAGCATCATCCTCATCATCACCGTCATCAGCATCATCATCATCATCATCATCGTCCTCACCATCACCAACGTAATCACCACCATCATCACTTCATTATCATCTTCAGCAGCATCATCGTCGTCATCATCAGCATCATCATCATCGTCTCCATCATTAGCATCATCATCATCAACATCATCATCATCGTCATCACCATCATCCTCATCGTTGTCGTCATCATCAACCTCGACATCATCATCATCATCATCATCATCATCAGCATCATCATCATCACCATCATATCAGCATGTTGAACATCATCATCACCGTTTTCACCATACCCATATTCAACGTCATGCTCATTATTATCGTCGTCATCAGCATCATCAGCCTCCTCATGATCATCAGACCAACTCCTCCCTGTCGCATCCTTAAATGCGTCGGCAAGGCGGGCTGGACAACTCGCCTGGGACGTCCTCACCGTCTACGATCCTGCAGCTTGAATTCGCAACGGCTTCCGTGATGGAGGGGCTGCTTTTCAAAACGAGGGTCTCGCCGCAGCGCCGCGCAATCCGTTTTGCAATGCCTGCAACAGCTTCAGGGGCGGAGCGGAGGAGGGTCGAAATGGAACTCCCGCCATCGCGCCGCGCACATTCGCCCTAAGCGCTTGCCACAGCTCCAAGGGTGGAGGGCGGTGGCTTTCGGAAGGGGGCAATCGCCTCCGCGCCGCGCCCATTCGTCCTAAGAGCTTGCAGCAGCTTCCAGGGTGGAGGGCACTCCCTACGCAAA